GAGCAACACTTTTGGTTTTGGGGGAGGGAGGTGTTTGGGGGTTTTGTTTTGGTTTTTAATTATTTCTTTGCACTTGACAAGAGCTGGCACACAGCGATTCTGAGTTTGCACCGAGTGGCCTGACAAGTCAATCCACTTGCAGTGCCTAGGGATTCTGAAATGGTGGCTGGTATCTTTGCTGGACTGGCAAGGAAATGCACTCTGAATGTTGTAGTTACTGACTCGGGCTCCTTGCACTAGAGCTGCACTGTGGCTTGTTGCTTTTTTTGTAGTTAAAAAATAAATTAGTGTTTTGTTTTTTTCTTTTGGTCAGTCCAAACTTCAGTTTTCCTCGCTGCAAGCTTTAACACATGTTCATGCATGTCTTCAGGCATGAATGAGATTTTTACATTGATCTTAATACAACACACTGCCTGTAAGCTCAGTGTAGTAGCGTTCCCAATTGCCAGAGTCACTGCAGGGCTTGAGGTGAGGTGGCCTTTCTCCGGCCTTAGAACACACAGGAAAATATTTTAATCAGATTCTGACTTCTTGGTGTTCTTATAAAAACTTCACAAATACTTTTGACTCTTCCCCCTCTGCCTTCTCCTTTGTTCTCCACCTCCTTCTTTCTTACCCTTTAAATCAAAGGCCGAAAGAGAAAGAACAGGTTGAGGTGCTTGGAATGGAAGGGATATGATGTTGTCTCAGAGACTAATAGCAAACATTATGCCAGTGATGACTTCCCTTTAGTCCTTTTTCTTTGGAGATGCATGTTAATTTCTTTTTAAGTGAAAGCTAACATCTTCAGTAACTATTGCCTGTATGGTACTTCATTTGCTGGAGTAGTTTGTGGATAGCAGGAAAATGGCCAGACTTCAGTGCCTTAGGAGGTTTGTTCCAAAATGTCAGAGTAGCTGAGACCGTTCTTTTCCTTCCCTCTAAAAGGAAGTTCCCTAACCGGGTATCCTGTCTTTCCTTTCTTCTGCAGCCCTGCATCCTTATTACTCTTGTAATTCCTGTGCCTTGGGAAACAGCTAGGCCATTCTAGAACTGTAGCCCGGGAAAGGCTGTGATGTCCCAGTTCCCTGCTGAGCGCGTGGCTTTTGTTAGATGATGTCCTGTGTGCAGCGTGTGATAGGCAGGTGCTACTCTGCCAGGCCCAAGCCTAACTGATCTCCCTTGTTGACTGTTGTCTGATGTGTTACGGCTATTCTGTCACACAGTGTCACTTTTTACACAAAACATGGGAGGTTGGGAAGAAGCGCAGGTTCAGTTTTCTTGCTGACTTCATTTACTTTGACAGGTAAAAGGCTTCCCACAGTATGGCAAAGTCTGCTTGCATAATTATCCCTTTCCAGAACTTGATGCGTCATTCCAGGTTTGATGTAGTTGGCATACAGATGATCTGAAGAGCCTATAGCAGTGTGGAGGCAGGGCTAGTTCCTGGTATGCAAAAAACCTGCAAGCTATTCTGTTTCTTTGACCTGCTAGAGTAGGTATCCAATTTACTAATCTTCTTCAGCAACTTGGTATCTATAGATGCTTGAAGTTGCACCTTTCTCCTTCAACTTGAAGCTGCAGGGTTTTTTTGTCTTCTAAATTGCAATAGTCAGTCTCAAATGTTTGTTGCATTGTGTTGGGTAGAAATAGTCCCTGTTCAAGCATTTAAGCATGATAAATGCTCAGGGAAGGGAAGGGCCATCTTTGGAAAGCATTAAGAAACTCCACGGTATAGCAAAGGTATCCCTTTGCTGTGTTAATCTGTGTTCAGAAGCCTTTGGTGGGGTGGAGTGCTCCTGACCACAGTGTGCCCAGCATCACAAGGCAGTAGCTACAGTCTGGGTTAGACGGAAATGTTTTGATTTGGATTGACGCTTCTTTCTGTAGAACCAAGAAATCTGGCAAATCACAGTGCAGTGGTGTTGGGCCATGGCCTTCAAGCAAGAGGCACTATTCAAAGAGTATCTGCTATTCTTTATGGTATGATGGGGTAGCAGTACATGAACTAAGTCATTAAAACTCTCCTGTAATGTCAGGGTGGTTCTACAGATGCCACACGCGTTCACAGAAATGAAACCAGTAGCCATTTTACTGTTCCTCTTTGAGGAGAGGAAACCATGCTAGCCTTTTCTGTGCTTGTATTTGCCAAAGGTAAAAGGGATGGGCAGGGACTTAGGAGGGTTTGGGGTATCTCTAATTCTGACTGCAACTTTCTTCTACCTAGAAGAAGCCGGACGATCAGCACTGCAAAAGCATGCATGTCTCTGGCCTGTCGTGGGTAAAGCCTGGCTCAGTTCAGCCTTTCAGCAAAGAAGAGAAGACGATGCCTACCTAGCTCTTCTGGACTCTGGTGCACAAAACACTTTCTGTGGGTGGAGGGAATGTAATGGATGGAGAAACAGCAAAGCAGCAGTTTCTTTCTTGACTACGGATTAGTAAAAACTGAGTGGTAGCAGTGACTCCAGTAAACCTGTTCAATGGATTACTGACTCTTAATGTTTTACATATGCATTAGGTTTTAAAGGCTTGCCTGGAGTTTGGAAGTCTCTCTTGAACACTGCAGTACTTCTACCTGAAGACTGTCTAGGGTGGGTAATTCCTCAGGGCTCTGAAATCCCTGGAGGTTTTGGGTTGGTTTTTAAGCTTTTATTTTTTCCCTCCAGGAATAGCAATTTTTTTAAAAAATCTTAAATTACTGGCAGAAATATTAGCATTGGAAATATGATGCCAGTGGTAAGCTGTGTTCATGTAAACTAATATAGCAGAGTTAAACACTATATTTAATGGTTTTAAATACTTTGGTTTCTATTGTAAATATATTAGGATTTGAAATTGTAAATAGACGGTTCATTGACTCCATTTAGCACTTTCAAGAGGTAAAGCTGGGGATGATGTATGATGTATTATTGATTTGTAAATGGATATTGTCACTAAAGCGCACATTAGTCTGACAGTGAAAGCAGAATGTCAGGCTTGTTAGACTTTTATTACGTAAACACTAAAATCAAAGCTTTTAATGGTGGTCTCTTGAGCTAATAAAATCTTAGATGGCTTTAGAATTCCCTAGGTGTCTAGGGGATTACTTAGGATAGCTTGACTAATGTGTGTTAATAGTGACACCTTAAAATAAAAAGAAACCATGATCTAGCTTTTGTCCCTCTGTTTGTCTATGCCGTAGACATTTAGCAAAGACTGGAACCGGAATGGAAGCACCCGGCTACATATGCACTTGCCTGCATATGCATTCAGGGTGCTAATGGGCTAGCAGGATGTACTGGAGACTGGATAAATACAGTTCTGTCCTGCATAGAGGAAAACCTTTCTAAAGCATGTGTGAGCTCAGGACAGAATCTTTTCACAAGGGTCTTCCTCCTTTGGCTCCTGATACCTCTGCTGATGGCATTAATGCAAACCCTGCGGTCTAGTAACAAGGGGTAGTGACTGTCAATGTAAACGTGATGTGGTGTTTGGGGAGAGTGGGGAGTGATGTGGTGTATAGTTTGGGTTTTGTGGGGTTTTTTTGTCTTTTGTTTTTCTCTGACAAGCTAAATCCACTTGTCATATAACAACCTTTCCCTGGTCAACTTCTTGGCTCTTAAGGAAATATAGACAAAGGCTTCACAGGTAATACGCTGTCGTATACCAAATGATTAATTTAATGTAGTGTTAAGGATAGTGGTTTTTACGCAGCACTTAACGTTGTATAAATTAAGTACTTATCTGTTTTAGGTAATGTTGAAATCTTAACGCATGAAGTTGCTTTAAACCTTCTAAAGCTTCTGGCTTTGAGATGAGCGGTTTCCTGGGGCTGCCTGGACTGTCTCTAGCACTGCTGGAATTCCTCTTTAGACAGAAGAATGCAGAGGGTATGCGGAGAGCAAGGATCCTCTTTAAGGTAGAGAAGGAAGTGCCTCCAAAGGTGCATTTCTTGGGGCTGCTCTTTCCTCTTTAAGTCCCCTCATCTTATAAAGGGTCTATTACAGGGCCTAGGTTCTCGATTAAATGCTAAAATGTTCTTTTTAAACCTTAGTATATCCATTTGTACTAAGTTTAATAAGAGAAAATATAATTTGGAGTGGCTTTTTCCTAAATAAATTTGAGATTAAAATAAGAGGAATTATAAGCCTAAATTACCAAGCGGGTGCTTCTGAACAGGGTATTTGCAACTGAACGATTGCCTTCAGCTTTCTGAAAGCTCTTGCGAACTCTGTATATGTGAGGCACGGGTCTGCGTAAACTGCAGGCTCTGGGCATGTCAATTAGTAAAGCAGATTTAAACATATAATGGCCTTAAATGCACTGTGGCTTTTTTTTTTTTTATTGTAAACTGTTGAAAGTGGTGGTTGAGTGCAGATCTTCTGAAAGGATATTTTTGCCAAGGTGACTCAATTGCTGGGTGAGATGTCTGTGACTTGGTATGGTTTTGTAGGGCAATTAACTCTGTAACTTGGCTTCTGCTATCTCCAGCACAAATCTGTCTCCTCTAGCTCGGAGCTCAGTCTGACTTTGTGAAGAAGGTGTGTTAAGGCAGTGGTATTTAAAAATGGATAGGGAAATACAGAGCAAATCTGCAGTCTTTAGTGGCTCCCTGAAGGTTGCTGCTGCTGTTACGCTTTCAGACAATTGCAAAGTCATTACTAGAATAATTCTCTGTATTTCCACTGACATCACTATTGCTGTGTCATCCCCAGAGAAGCTCATCACAATCAGTCTCGTGCTTTGATATATCGGTAACTAGAGTAAAGCCGACAGACTTGCTGTAGGATGTTTTGCTGTTTGAGTCTTGAAACAGTGGCTACTGTCAGGAGCAGCACTATCTCTGTTTCTACAGCAACACCAGAAACCAGTGCCAGCAAGGTAACATCAAACTGAACGTTGTCTTCGTGCTAGTAGTGGTGGCTTGTTGGAGTGAAACATTAAACTCCAAACCTTGAAATAAACCTACGCAAATAATGGATTTGAGATTTTTTTGTGGTGGTTTCTTTCTTCTCCCATTCCTACCCCTTGGGAAGGAAGGAGTGGGAGAAGGCTGAGGACTTGCAAGAACTTTGCTCTTACTCTTAAGTATTTTTTTTGAAACATGTTACATAAATAGACTGCGAAGTCCTGTCTTCAGATCAAGAACCTTGAGGAGAGTGAAAAATTCTGAATTGGCACTTAGGTTTGTGTATTCTTTCTTTGTGTACATTCTACCTCTTTATTTAAGGATGGTTTTTCTACCATTGTTTTTGCATTCTGTATCTTGCATGCTAAAGTTTGGTATTTTGTGAGAACAGGGTTTGGATGGCAGATGGCTGTAACCCTGTTACATTTTTTTTCCGTGCGTCAGTACAGCAAAAACCTGTGGATCTTGGAAGAAGGCAGGCGATTCTCACTGCTGTTCCTGTTGTCAGCTCCGTGACGGCATGTGCAGAACGGCTTTCTTTTCTTCCCTCTCTTCCTTACCCACCATGGAAAGCAGAAGAAAGCAGAAACCTTCTGGAGCAGTTGCTTAGTGCCACAGCTGCTTCTTGAAAAGCTAGTGAGTAACAGGGCTAGGGAGGGCGAGAGTGCGTGCGCCTGTGTGTACGTGCGTGCATGCGGTGTTCCTGCTGTGCGAGCAAAGGAGCGAATAACTGGGCACGTAGCACTTCTCTGCTCCAGTCCCTCCTGGCTCAGCGACATTTAGGAAGCGGCTGCCAGTGTAAAACAGGGGTTGGAAACTTAATTTTTCAGTCTTTCAAAGCAAGGAATGTCATTCTTGCCCTGTACTGCCAACCACAGAAGCTGTCTGGCCCACCTCCATCAGTGAGAGGGAGATCTGGCGGGCTGGGAGGCTGTTGCGTTGCCTGAGGTGGCACACGGGTGTGCGCTGGCAGCGCCTGTGCCATCTCCTGGGCAGGTGTGGCCGCATGAGGCTCTGCGCGACCCACGCGGCTCTGCAGGGAGTTCCGGGCTTCGTTTCCCAGCACGGATGTGGTCGCTTCTCCCTGGGATCTTCGCTGCAGAGATCGAAGACCATGTCCGCCCCTGGTGGAGAAGGGTGAGTGATCTCGCTGCTGATCCGCTCCTCTGGGAGGCGGGGGGGAGGGAGAGCGGGAGGCAGTAGTGGGGGAAGCGGAGTCTTGCTCAGCCTCCCTCCTCTCATACCAGAAAAAACGCTTGTAGGTAGTGCAGGGTAGGGCTGTAGCAGCGGCAGTAGCGTGGGACTTCGGTTGTTCCCTGACTCAGGTACTTCGGAAATACTTGGTAGAAGCCAGGGCCTTGAGTGCTTGTGCATATAGACTGGGGTTGCCCACGGGAACTGCCCGAGGCCCCTTTGTTCTCAAGGGTGCGCTTGGGTCGTTGGGCGCGTTTTGCTCTTTCTCGTGCTTGCAGGGTGCAGGGGGAGCGGCCTTTCTCTGCGTAGCTTGGGCAGCAGTTCCGCTGCTCTCACTCTGTTTTACATCCCTCCAATGCTTTTAGAGATCTTTCCTAATCTCCCTTACTTAGCGCTGTGCCTTGCAGCGGTTATTGCTAGGAAGGGTATGTGCAGGCAGCAGCTGACACCCAGCTTGCCCGGCCCTAGCACTGTCCTGCCCCGGGAAGGGGTGGACGTGTGGCACAGCACACAGAGGAGCGCTTGCAGCGGCCACAGCTGGTGGCTTGTGCTTAAATCAAACTATTTCTGGTGCCTGACAACTGCTTAACAACTAGCTTGCTACTTGGAGAACATTTCTTTTGTTGCTCTTGCCTCTTTTTTGCTTCTCGCGCAGCTGATTTGCTACTTTAAAAAAAAATAAAAAATCCTTCATAGGGTTTGTGGCTTTTGTTATTTGCATTCTAGGGAACAGATTTCTCATAATCCTAAATAGGCATTTCTCCAGTTTCACTCGTGTCAGGTGCCACTGGTCATTAACCTTTCGAGCAAGTACATGGCTTTTAGTCAGGCATGATGCCGCTACTGAGCAGCTGGCTTTCAGCAGTCCTTGCTGCCAGGGAGGTCTCTAGAATAGGGTGCGGCACAGCTGAAGGGGGCTGTCACACACGGCCTTGGGCTTGGGCGAGAATCAGCCAGCTCCCTCCTAACCCGGAGGGAAGGAAGAGGAGGTCGCTCTGTGCCGCTTCCCTTGGGCAGCTCCCTCTTCTAGTGGCATTCGGGCCCCCGCCAGCCTGTGTATTCCAGGCCTCTGGCAGATTATCAGGAATTGCAGGTGCCTTGGTATTGTCAAACGCCTGTTCTGAGTTTGCAGTAGGAGACAGAAATGGAGGAACTGGTCTGAAAGCCAAGCTGGTGTTGCCTGGGAAGCGGTGATGGGTTTTCTTTCGAGGAGAGCATGTGGGAAGAGTGTGTGAGGGCTAGCGCACAGGCCTGGCGCGTAGCGACTAAAATGCTGTGAATGTTAATTCTGTTGCCGCTGTGGTTTCTCTTACACTTCTATTGGGAAGGCTGACGTTGAAATCTAAGAGGTTCAGATTTAGCATTGGGGAAGCTGAGTTACAGGACTCTTGAAGCAGAAACTGGGCCTAGCGTTGTGACTGAGCGCGCCGTGCCAGCTGGGCAGGGAGGTGGAACCAGAGCGTTCAGCTGGAACGCGAGCGATCCTCTTCATTTATTTCTATGATTATTTGGAAGCCTTTGTAATAAATCACTGACTTGCAAATTTGCTAAGCCTCTTAGGTGAGGGACTTGCGTAGAAGTTTAATCCCTTCTAATCCTGGGCTGCTCTTTCACCTCTGCTGCAGCGGGGCGGGCGCAGGACTTCGCTCCCGGCGCTGGACAAAGCGGCGGCGCGGCGGTAGCCCCATGCGTGCCGACGCTGGGCGGGGAGCGTCAACTGTGGCGCAAATCCTGGTGACTGTTACCTAATGTCCGTTCAGAGACGCGGCTGCTGCCGGGTTATTTGCCCGATGCTTGCTGGGGTTTGGAAAACCCCACAGTTAACGATGAGGAAGAGCAATGAGAAGGCAGAACGATAGAGGGGTGTAGTAAAGACGATGGTTATTGGAGTGAGTTTTGTTTATCTTTGAGCTGTTACGGACTGCTGCCTAGGCTGGATCGCTCTGAGCTAAATCCATGCTAAGAGCAGTTTGCTGGAGAGAATAATTTTATTTCTTCAAAGAACACTGAATTTTGTTAAGTGTAGAGTGAAAAATCTGAATCTTTTTTTTTTTTTTTTTTTTTTCTTTTTAGATGGAGAAAGGGGTGTGAATACTGACTACATCATCTCTAATTGCATTTGCGTATTGAAGGAAGCTGTTCCAGGCGCAAGGTGGGCGGGTGAGTCCTGAAACGGTACCACTGGGATCAGGTCTCCTCCTGCATTTGGCCGTCATCGTTCCTGGTACAGGTATCCATCACTTAATGACAAACGCAACTGAAGTCCCTGCTGCCGCTTTGATGCAGCGGCATTTCGGGGTATTATCATCTTTGCAATGCTCGATTCTGTAAAGACGTTGTTGCCAGCGGAGGGTTTCAGAAAGGGATGGAAACAACAGGAGCCGATGGCGCGTAGAGCCAGGGCCCCTGGGTAAAATGCAGGGGAAAACCAGCCCCACCTTGCTGTGAAAGCGCCATACCTGGCTGCCCGTGGCCAAAACAGTTCTTAACAACTTAATTAAGAACTCTTAGAAATTTCCCTCATTTAGTTCAAACTTGAGTACCAAGGTTAGCGTGTGTTGAAATAATTCTGCTTTCACTGGATTAAAGCATGAGATCTTGTACTAAAAGCTCCTGCGAGGAAGGTACTGGCTTGCTTTTGTCCTGGGGTCCCCTGCCCCTGCGCGGCAACGGCAGCCCTGTGCCAGGCTCTCTGTTCGGAGTGAAGATGGCGATGGAATCCCGGCAAGAGGAAACCTTCTCTTTGTCCTGTGACTACTAAGTGCCACTGGTTTTTTCTTTTCTGTTTGTGTGTTTTTTCTTTTCTTAAAACCCCGTAATTGCACTGTTTGACTGCAGTTCTTGCGAGCTCGAGCGCATCGCGTGCCTTGCAGACCCCAGCTGTACGATTTCTGTTCCGTTTTCAGTGCAGACGGGTCACCCCTGGTGTTGGGCCATTGGTGCTTTTCTTCATACAAGAAGGTAAAATTGTGAGTTTATAAATTCTTTATTGAAAAATACACTTGCAATATTTTCATACAAAGCAACGTAAATGGTACAGAGTAACTAGAATTGTCTGACAATTTCATAAATATTTTTACAGGAACATCCACACGATTTCTTGACTTCAGCCTTTTCGTTATGCAGGTAAGAATGAAAGACACTTATTTTACTGTAATTGAATTTACAGGGGAATTAAGTCCTAAATTTTCCCATTATTCAGAGGAGCAGGGATGACCGAAAATACAGAGCTTTTAACTTTTGCTTCCTTACAACACCTTCTGGAATCAGAGTGTGCTGCATTTTACAGTACCACCCCCACTGTCCCAGCTGAGTCACTGGAAGGGAGTGGACGGCCACGCTGCACCGGCTGTTGGCGTGCTTAATGCCTTCCTAGTAAGCCTGGTGGCTTGGGACTATTGTAAATTTAAACGATGAGTAAGTCTAATATATGCACCACTTCCTGGCCCTGTGTGTAGGGCAGAGATTTCTCCCGGCAGCCTGATTTAGTCCATTAAAAAAGAACAAAACCCAAAGCAACCCCCCAAGCCCTATGCTTTAAAATCAAACAAAAAAGCTAACTCAATGTTTTAAGAGATGGACGCCGCCATCCTTCTGCGGAGTAAGCGAGGTGGCCGCTTCCCGACGCCTAAGAAAAGTGATCTGAAGAAACATTATGAGCGTATAAAATTCCTTGAGAAAAGCAAATGTCCCAAGCTTCCTGCACTCCCTGCTGCAGGTACATCAAATGAGAAAGAATTCTTAATGCCTTTTGCTGAAGAGGGGAGCTGTGGGATGTCAATTTAAAAATAAATACAAAAGTCAAATTGCTTCAATACAGAAAGACAGCTGCAGTCAGCCTTTGAAAAAAAATAATTCACATTTAGAAAGTGCCATTGCAAATATACAGCAAAACTACTCTGCCTTAAAAATGACGCTTCACAGCCCTATCAAAAGTGCCACCTTTTGAACACGAGTTCACTTTAAAACATTGCACAGCTAAAAACAATGCATAAACAGAATTGTCTACCTGTCTACAACAAGGTGCCCAAACGTTAAAGCAAACCAATGTGACTTTTTGCAGGGGCACAGGAACCATCCTGGAGAGGGCAAGGATCTGGTCAGCCAGCCTCCTCCGGGGTCAACAAGAGCGCTCCCGTCTTCCCTTCCCCAGCAGACCTGGACCTTGCTAGAAGGTGACTTGTAAGTCGTTATTTTTGTGCAGGGCGTTATTGTAAAAACCAAGACACGGCTGAAGGCGGTGATCTTGGCGTGGTGCTCCCACATCTGATGCAGGTATAACTTCCTAGTCCAAGGGTGAAAGTGCTGATAAAACCAGTTAAAGCAGATGGATTTAAATCTTGTTGCAAGGTAGAAAGCGTAGAAAGCTGCGGTAGGGAGGTGTTCTCCAGGCACCAGGAAGCTCTTCAGCTGCTTTCCAAAGCCAGCGCCTGGAGAGGGATCACTTGCCTTACGGTTGGCGTAGCCGTGGGTCGAGGTCAGGCCGCAGGGCTGGAAGCCTCTCCTCGCTGTCCCAGGGGTGGGGCAGACCCCTCCTGCCCTTCCCGAGGGGCGCGAAGGCTGGGCGCAGCCTGGCTGGGCGCAGCCTGGCTGGGCCAGGCCCTGTCACACGCTAAGCAGCCCAGCGGAGCAGCAGGGGGCGGTTCCCTGTGCTGGACCCCGGGGTCAGTGAGAGCCTCTGTCGTTCGCTACATCCTGCAGTCGTCTTAGCAGAGCAGTGTGGTTCTCCTGACAGATGCGCTTAGCTGGCGCCTCAGTGCCCTCTTCTAAGAGAATGCCTCTCTTCTTTGTTGGAGTCTCTCCGGTTTTAACCATGCTGTTAATTTCCTTTAGCCTCTGGAAGAGAGGAGGGGGGAAAAAAAAGTAGAATTATCTCTCATTGTTGTGACTAGCAAACTATACAGTGAACTTTTGTTAATTGCATTACAGTGGGATTCTGCATGCTGCGATCTGTACTGCACAAAGTGCCTGCTGTGCTGCTCTGCCCACAGCCGTGTGCTGGAGCCTCGCTCGGCTCAAGCAAGCCGGCTGTTCAGCGGTGCCGAAAGGCCCTCCGTCCCTAGCGGGGACCGACACCGTGCGCCACAGATGCAACTACTCCTGCAATGAAGATGCTTCTCGGGGCAGATTCTACTTCGCTCCTGGTGACCAGAGGTGACAGGAGGCAGCCTATTGCATACCCACCCGGTAAGCCTCCTCGTGCTGAGAGCTGCTTGGTCCCCGCCCAGGGCGCTAAGAGCAGGTGCCTGTACGCAAGGCTCTGCTCTGGAGCAGTCTCCATCGCGAGTAACGCAGCCGGCCCGCGGCCGCACCCCCCCGGCCCCTCCTGCGCACTGGTACAGGGAGTGACTCGGGGAAGTGCCCGGCCGCTGGGACACCTCATTGCTTTCCAGCTGCTTAGGTACCCAAACAGTGACAGTTTGAGGGGCTTAGGTGAGCAAGTACACATTGAACACCATAAACAGGAAGGTGTGTGGCAGAGTGCTCTCTCGTTTCGCTGCCAAGAAGAAAAGGTAGAATTAAGGTTCCTGGAAGCAAGCTCAAACCCTGTAGTCTCACCTTAGAAGGGCTGCTGCTGAAATAATAGAATATTTTCTCTCGAGGGGAGAGAGTAGGCTCGTTTTTGTGTGGCGAGATGTACACTGGGTGATTCTGGGACAGCTGTATCCTGCGAGGGGAGCCGATGCGTACAAACGGGTAGGGCGAGAGCGGAGGGGAATCGGTCTGCTCAAGAGAAAAGGAAAATCACTCAGGAGCTGGTGTGCGATCTTGGATGCTGCTACAGTAAGGCTTTCGTAAGGTGGCAACCTTAAACAGAGTTTAGTTTCTTACCACTAATGTCATGCTGTACATGTTCAGAGTAGATACATGTTTTGTCCTGTTATTAGGCCAGCTTAGTGTCTTAAATTTACTTTTCTAACCCTGTCTGAGGCTGGCAGGCAATGTTGCTCAGTGCTGTGTATTGGCTTAGTGCTTCAGCAGCACAGCACGTCCTTGAAGTGAAATTATTGTCATAAAAAAAAAAATACAGTCCCCCGAATTTGCTTACCGTGAGGTCAGCCAAGAGCACTTCACTGCTTGTACGGCAAAAAAGGCTGTTTACTGAGGAAAGGCACAGACTTGAACTTACTGCATTTGAAGTATACTTCAGGGCAAATTCTTTAATCTGCTCGATGTAGACGTTGTTATAGAACTGTATAAGGTCCCCTCGCTCTTCCTCCTCGGTGTCGCTGTTGGCACCCGTCAGGCGGGTGGGGGTGGGGGGGGCGCTGTTGGGGTGCGGTACGGGCAGGGTGCTGCTGGATCGCATGACGGGGCTGGAGTCTCTGCTGGCTGCGGGGGCGAGAGCAGGCGCCGTTATCAGCCTCGGCTGTTCAGTGCACCTCACTCCCTTCAGTCCCGGCACTCGGCTGGAACCGCGTTCCAGCTGTCCGAGCTGCAGCCCAGTGCCCCGCCGCCCGGTGCCGCTATCGGCCACGCTAGCTTCCTTCCCTCAGCCTCTCCCCTTACAAAAAAGCAGTGCGGCGTTAAAGACCAACGACCGCTGAGCACATGTACAGAAAGGCATTTGATTTCTAACTCCTTACTGGGGAAATGGTAAACTGCAAGTGGCTTTCCTGTAGAAGCTGAGTTTCATCACAATATAAGCAGAGCTAAACCTCATTTCTCAGGCACTTGCGCTATACTTTTCACAGGAGCTCGCTCTTGTTGCCAGCTGGCACAATTTCAAATAAGGAGCCGCCGTCTTTTTCAGCAAGTAGTAGAAATATTGGGCATGGTAATACTTCCTGCTGGTTTAATGTGGGAAGCTGCAAAATACATACATATAATTTTTTCCTTCCCTCCCTGTTCTGTGACAGAAAACATGAATACCTACAGTTTATATCCTCCTCTATTAAATACCTTGAAAACTGGTGGTAGGAATATACAGCATCGCTTGTTTGCTGTCCTGTACAATGGGTAATTCAAGTGTAATTCAAGGTGCTGGCACACCTGACCTCTCTGAAGATTCCTCCAGTGATATTTGACCTGAGAGAGATGCTGTGGGTGGCCGGTTTGTTCCTCTCTCTGAAGAGAGCCAGCTACTGCAGACGGAAGCGCTGCAGCGCCACGGCTGCGGTAAGTAAAGGAGTCGCTGTGAAAGGGACTGGCTGCTGAAGGGCTGGCTCCCCTTTCCTTTCACTCTACAAAGACTTTGTTGTACGGACCAACCGCGCATGGCTCAGGCCAGCCATGGGGGTGGGTTCTGAAGGGAAGCTCACATGGTGACAGATTCAAAACTGTCAGTGTAATGTTGAGTTGTAGCAACTCTTAAATGGTACCAATATATTCTTCATTGGGTCCCAGTTTACCAAAGAAGGACTTGTTTGGGGTGGGGTGACGGAAACTGAATTAAAAACAAACATCTGGAATTTAGAATCACTCACTTTTTTCTTTGTTTCGCTCTTTGCTTCTGTCTGTAGGCGAGTTCTGCTGGCTGCTGCTATCGCTGCTGCCGGAGCGCCGCCGCCTCCTGCCTTTTATCAGGACGCTCCGATACACCTGCAGGGAAAAGGGGAGCGTAACAACGGCAGGATGCCCAGGAAGGCGGTCAGGAAACAACAGTCTGCATAATGTCTCTGCTTCTTAGAAACTTCCTTGTGGCATCAAATTGCTTCTTCCAGGGGAAAATACAGCCTCCTGCATGGGAGTATTACCCAGTAGGCACTGCCTCCGCAGGTTTTAAGTAAAGATATTTCTATTTTAGGTATAGCTTAGCATAAAAAGCTTTTGGTAGTGCAGGATTTCGGATATGACTGCTGTCTTTTGAGGGGAATGCCTCACAGACTGCATTCATTCGATACTGAGTGTTACCTCAAGAAGCGATCCATTCCCAATGTAGAACGAAGGCATTTAATGCAGCAGGTACCACGTTGGTTAGTTCTGGCTGTACTTACGTGGCTCTTGGCTTGTGGTTGTGTCCGATAGCAGCGCATGATGTTCTGAAATGATCTATCTTCCTTCGTAACCTAAGAGCAGACGAACAGAAAAGGTTAATAGTTTTTTCTGTGGGTTTTTGTCTTTGTTTGGGGTGGTTGTGTGTGGTGTTTGGTTGGTCTCAGGTTTTTTTGAGGAATATTATTTGTGGAATATTAAGTCTTAAAGAAGTCGGTTGGTTTTTTCTTTATTCACCTTACCTTAGCCATTACATAGACGGCGCACATCAGCAGCTGATCCAAGTGTCTGTCCATCATGGTTTCAGGGCAGTGCACCAAGGAATACTCAAAACAGGTCCAGATCTTTTTCCGCAGCTCATCAGATATATCAAGTTTGATGCAGAGATCTCGCAGGCGAACACTTGCCAAATGATAGACCTGTTGGAGTGGAGACTGTGCTTAGGGCCATAGCAGTACTGCTGCTCTTACCCAGCTGGTTCAGCCTCGCGCTCCGCGTAGAACTTGCGCAAATGGTAAGCCCAAAGAAGAATAACTACACTGAACTTTTTTGCTTACAAGACACAGGGTTGGTACCAGGGCTGGGAATGTCTAAGAAAACATTTGAATTCTCTAAGTGCAGGAAGGGCACGGCCTAGCCTACAGAAACTACTGTACTGAATAAACCAGAATGTCTCAAAGGTGATTTTCTTTCTTTTAAAGAGCCGTAAAGAGAATGGACTCCTTTTAAGTCCCTGCTGGCCGAGTATGTAATCTACTCCACAACTCGCGGTGGCTGTGGTGACAGTCTGCCCCTTTGCTAGCAAGAAGTTGCCTGCATAAGAAAACTACTCTTCAGGCTTGGCCATGAATAGACAAAGCCTACAGGTTAACTTTGAAATGTAATATGCTCGTGTCATTACTACTACTAAGTACATATTCTAAAAATCACTGAAGACGTACCAAAACCCAAACTCCCCAAAGCAGCACACATTAGACTGAAAGTACCTTTCTAAAGAAGAGCGAAAGCGAGCCCATCTTCCGCGGCTTGAGGGACGCAGCAGTGATGAAGAGCTGGGTTTGTCGTTGCTCTCCAGGAGAGATCTGCTGAACAGTTAACTGCCCCGGTAACTGCAGCATTGCCCCGGCGAGCTGAGGGTTCAGGGTGCCAGCAAGAGCCTGGGCACCCAGAGGCTGAATGGGACCAGAGACAGCTTGGGGCTGGGCACCAACGTTTACTTGGACCGGGAAGAAAGTTATTCCTCCGTTTTCATTGGCAATACCTGTTATTTCAGAAAAAGAGTTTGTCACTTTGATCCCCGCCCCCCCCTCCCTGAATTCAGTACTACTTTTATTAGTTGCTTATAACTACATAATTTAGTATACTATGTGTGAAATTGTTTCATGAAAATACTTTTGACTTCTCCTTATAAGGAGACAAGAAGATAGTGAAATTGAACTGAGTTGTTAATACTAATGCAACTTTCATCCCCTGCTAGTTCAGGAAGGCAGGCTTACTGGAGTAACTGAGTTTTATAAAACAGATGCTGGCAGTCAGAACATCCTTGTGCTGTACACGTTCTGTCTCTAAATTCTGCTTATCTAGTCACACCATTCTTCCCAATTACAAATCCTTAAACATACTTTTTTCTCCACTGGTGTACTGTTCCCCCTCTCCCCCTTCCCATGTACTAATTCCTTGATGGGAACAAGCCTGAACCATTCTACAGTACCTTTTCTCTTACCTTGCACTGGTATTGTAACGGTTTGCCCATTATTGGCTGTTACGGTGGCAGTTGCCACTGTCACCAGTGTCTGGCCGGGCACCGGCGTTACCGACATGGCTTCGGGGTTGATGTTCTGCACAGGCACTGTATTTACCACGGGCTGTTGGGAAACTCTTACTGGAGTTCCACCCTCCGAGGTGGTGTCGTTATCAACAAACAGTCTTCTCCTTGTAGGATTGGCTGTAGGAGAACTGTATCTGTCATACAGGGTCGTTGGAGAGGATGAAAGGCCTGTGGATTAAAAAACCGCATGCGTATGTAATGCTTGCTGTATAATCCCTTATTATACAACTACGTGACAGAAATCTAATAAGAACCAAAACACGCCATGCAAAGCTCTTCAGGAAACATTTTTAAAAAGCCCTGATGTCTACATTTGTGGCTTACAGATTGCTTTTAGATAGGATTTTGTCTCAAATAATGCCGTGTTTCGTAATTTTCTAAGGTAATGATGTATTACATTTTATTTTTCCAGAAAAAAAGTTTGAGGCTTCATATAACTAAATATATAGTGGAGCTTCTGTTCTGGGATAGCAATAAAGCAAACTGTTCAAGTGCTACCGCTTAGAACATAAGTCGTGTGTGCGTGTATAAATATTATTTAACATACATATGTATGCATGTATATATGTGTTCTGTTCATGTACCTGACCTCCTGAAAGCAGCCTACCAGGACAGTATTTTGGTCACACTGAAAAAGGAGTGTGTTGGTCTTAGACATCCGCCTTAGCTATGTGAGTTGCAGTAGCAATACATTTACAAGTGTGTTTGCAATTCACTGCACACTGCCATGGAAGCAGCTGCCTTGCTGTACACCACTTCGATGTAAAAAATTCAAGCCGTGGTCTAAGAAGTGTAAGGAGGGTGGCCTTAAAAAATTTCTCACCTTTTCCTAGTCCTCCGGTTTCAGCGCGAACCTCATTTATTCGTCTTGGTGTCAGTGGTGAACCTATAACACTGTTCCCAGCAGATCTTTCAAAATACTGAGGTGGCATTACCTAAAATATTTATACTTTTATTAGAGTGTGTCTGTATCACAGATTGACTATGTAACAAATTTTTAAAAGCTTTTAAAAGCTTCTGCATGACAAATTTCGAACAGCAGAACGGTGTGGAAGAAATAAGATCACTGAAAAACTTACCATAAGCCTAAGTAAAGCTTTGGAGCGACTGTGCTTCTCTGGACGATACAGTACTGTAACCTTTACAGTACTGTAACCTTTCTGTGACCACAATTAAAAGTCTGTACTTTTAACCACATTTCTTTGTGTCTAGTCATCTTTTCAAGTGTAACTGACTGTTCCAAACCTTCCCTTCTTGTCCATTGTGTTTGCTGTCCTGCTACGCTGTGCCAGTACCGGGTGCGATTCATCTCAGCTGCACGTCTCTGGTTTGGATGTCTCTAGAGGCGCCCACAAACAGCCCAGAGCACACTGTATGCACTATTGCAATGTGGACGTGTAAAGCCTCTCCTTCAGGGTGTAACGTCCACTCCCTGCCATCCTGTCTGGGTAGGAGAACTATGTAAAACTACGAAAAAAAATAGAGAAGTGCTCACCTCTTCACAGGTAGGAACTTTGTTTTCATTGTCTCTGATTCTGTCCCACAGGATGGATTCCTGTTTCCATGCCATACTTTCCAAGATCTGTTCTTCGATATGATTGAGGTGTTTTACTACTTCCCGACAAAGGCCATCCTCTGCTCTAATGACAACTTCAATTACCTGTAAGGTGGACAGCGGTGATCAACACAACGTACTTGTTTCATATATTTCTTACACAGACAGATCTAATTCTTATTCCTGATTTTCAAGGAAAAAGAAGCTATTAGAAATACTAAGGCTGCATTACGATGACCCAGTTGTATGTTATCTTGCAGTTTTACCAGAAGGCAGAGCACTGTTGCACAATATCTCATGATAAAATGATAATCCATTAGTTACTATACAGATGCTTGGATCCTGCCTCTGTGTATTCTGATTTTTAAATGCCCAAGACACACTCCAGAATGACAGACGCTTGGGTAATATTTTTTCAGTACAAAAAGGGGCAAAGTTGATAATGAAGCGTTAATGTGCAAATTAAGGAGATTACTTAATGTAAGTCAGTAGAGTAGCCATGACTCAATAAGCATTTCAGCCATCAAACACCTTACCTTATAAAAATGATAGACTGGAATGTCAAATATTTCAGTGATGCACGGGAAGTTTCCAGGTGGCTTGTATGTAAAGGTGATGATCTCCAGGCAACATGCCAGCAGAGATCTATGAAACACGTCCTGCTCCAGTATTGCCTGCAAGACAGTTGCAAATTTTAATACTGAATTTGCCGTCTAACTATGGAGCAGTAAAACGCTTTCTATTCTGCCTCAACAGTAAGGTTATCAAGCTCATAAAGAGAGATCTTACTGTGCAAGAGCCAGAACAGAAGCCAAAATGAGCCATCTTTACTCACTAAAAATTCCATATACCTTTGTGTTCGCAAACAGAAATGATTTCTTGTACACTTCTTCCATGCAGGTGTACTTGTACTTACAGGCCACTTGTCAGGGATTTACCCTCATTTTAACTAGCTGTCTATTCTGCTCTACAACTGTTTTCCTTTTTCACAGATCCACCTTTAAAAATGAGGTACAATTGGATTAATTTTCCTTACAGATAAGTCAGCGTCTCCCAGTCTCCTCCTCTCCTGCTCAATGACTGACTCCAAGACCTTGTAGTATAGCACCTCAGCACGACGAAAATGCTTACTAGCAACATCTGCAGGAATTTTAAAAAGAAACGATACTGTTAAATGCCATAAAGGATTTATATTCTTAAGCTATAGAGATACGACAGTTCAGTAGCTTGGGTGGGTTTCTGTGCTGCTGTGGCTACAGTGTTTTCAGGACTAAATCCGTTAATGTAAAGTTAACTTGGGGATCCCTCTCCTGACTTGTGAATGCAGAGCAGAATAATGTATGACCGAACCCAGATTTGGTTGGAAACACCAGATATAAGAACAGTCTTTAAATTGCTATCGTATAACAATGTGGATCCAGCTTGCGCTGTGCAACAGAAAACACTGAAGCAACTACGCCGACACCAAATACCAAGTAAGCAAGGCCCTATTAAGAAACAAGAAGGTTAAGAGCATCTTCCTAAGTTTTAATGCTTCTTCATGAGCTTCACAAACCTTGACAACTTAGCAAATAACACTTTGTGTTCATACTGTCAGCATTTGAATAATACTTGTACAAACCCATCCTTGTACACAAGCCAAAACTGCTGTAGGCCTTGTAAAGACTACAGGGGAGCAGACTTTTCGTTACCGTCACAGAAATCTGTGCCATCGCTATTCTTGTAACTGAGAGAGAAGCATGATACCCTTAAGAGCCCTTTCCATTCCACTTCTGTAGAATCGAAAGTATCATCAAATTCCAGTGATTTAACTTTAAGGCTGAATATAAAATTGTATGCAAGGTTGGAATTTGCTGTGAAAAAGATACCACGAAAAGACAAAGGTAATGTAAAAGGCTCTTGTGCTAAAGCATAACTTGTTAGTAAAACTGTAAGTTACTTACAAGAGATAAACGTGTTTATGGGCTTTTTAATTCTTATCTGTGGAAGTAAAATGTTGCCCACCTTTGGAAAAATTACTGAATTCTCCTTCCGACTGCATGCTCTGGCAGTACACTTCATACATTTCTTTTACTCTGTTTGCAATAGATTGAGAAGGATCTCTGGAACATGCCCTGAAAATAAAAACTAATTATTTTCAACATACTGTTCCTACTAAGACAAGAAAAGCCCCTAAACCCAACCAAACCCAACGACACCCTCCCCAACTATTTTTTTTATCATGTGATTGAAGCACAAGACTCTAAATTAGTCTTGGATACCACAACACACCCACCTATACGTGCCTGTGTAGGTACTGTAAAATGTCCACAGCATATTATTGTTACTGTCTATATTGTGGTAAATATGCACATCTTTTCATGAGCAGGGATAAACAGCATTTTCTTTGTGATATAAAAACTATTTTAAAAGTGTGTTGTACCCGAGGCAACAGTTTATCTACATGGAGAATAAATTTTATTTTGAACCTCCTACAGTACAGAGGGATTTGCTAGGGAGTGAGATTTGCTAAGTAGGAGGAAGGAAAGTTTTGAAAATTTTGTATTAGCAGTTTGCTGTTAGAGAAGCTCAGAACTGTTGGGTTTAAAATGTTGTATGTTCTTATAAGTATGTTCTTATAACCACCGACGTCTTAAGGACAAAGGTGTCTAAATAAAGAGGACAAAGTCTTTTGAGATGTAAATGTCTCTCTGGGTCCTATTTTACTCCAGAACCTTTCAAGACTGACTCACACTTTAAATTACACTTTTTAGCATTAACATTTGTTATTAAAACTATTTTAAAAAAAAATAGAATTATTTGGTTAGCTGAACATCAAACTTACCTGAGTATTTGCTCCAGATTTTCACTGGGGGCATTTTTCAGTCCTGCCAGCATGGTATGAAGGCGGCTCAAGCTGTATGTTGCTATGGAAACGGGTGTCACATACGGGTTGCTCTCTTTAATATACTTGCGGCCGGTAAGTGGGGTTGTAATCCTAAGCGATTTGGACTAAAAAGACAAAAAATAAACATACAACTGTACATTATTATAACACTCAGATACAGGTCATAACCTCAAAGTGTCTGCAGAATGCTTTCTTAGCCTGTGTTATGATACAAGCCTGGGAAAAAAGACCAGGAATCAAACAGCCCAAACTGGTTCATGTCTCAGATAGGTTAAGTCAGCAATGAAGGATTTATCTGTCACTTGGAAGTTTGTATCAAACAGTACTGTGTAAACGTATAAACAGAGAGGATGTGACCTCACACTGAAATGCAGATACTGGGAGTGAAGTGTGAAACAACTCGGCCAATCTAAAAAAAAAAAAAACCAACCCCAAACCCCAGAACCCCCAAAACCCCCAGCAGTCCCCTCCTGTCCCTTGAGTACCAAATGTAGCTGTAGCTCATAGGAAAAGCGTACTGAGCCAGCATTTCCTTTCAGCAAGTTTAACTCTTACATGAAAAGTCCTCCTGAATGTAAGAATTAGCATTTTAATTCATTTGCATCAGATCAATCCATCATATCAAAATAATTTAAGGTGAAGGATGCTCCTTCAATTAACATACAGCAAAAATGATGCATCTTCTAATTATCTAAGATCGCAATTACTTACCCAAGAAATGTTTCCTTATTTTAGTGAATACATTATATTTTGCAGTCTTTTCACCATGAAGTCCAGCTCCCAGTACTCCTCCCATTCCTCCCCCCCTGCCCTCAGGTGGGTTTTATTTCTGGCTCCGTACCCTACCAGGAAGGACGGTTCCCCCAGCCTGGCCCCGGACTCCAGGGAGCATGCAACAGCACAAGCGCTGCAGCTGCAAGCTGCCGTCTTACAGGGCCACGCTGCTTCATCGCTACAGCAACCTGCAAGAGTTACGCACCCAGAACTGTGCCAGCAGAACAGCAGCTGATTATTTCTTTAAATAAATCAGAAGTGAGGGATTAACTACTTGCACTGATTTTGCAGATAAGGTGATTTTGATCTTTCCCCCCAAGCATGTTGAAAGCCATTACCCAACCATCTCTCTGGAAAAAGATCACATTGCTATTTCAGTGACCCAGACTGTTTCACCCTTTTGCTCTCTGTAATCTAATTGTGCTCATACAGCTTATATCCTTCTTTATTTGCCTGTCTTGTATCCACCCTGCTTTTAAGATATCTTTTCCATCTTCAGAAACATTCTGATATTCTGTAATCATAGGTATATATGTCTGCAGTCAAAGCCACTACTTGTTTTTCAAAAGCTACCTGAGTCACATGAAGGCCCTGATAATTTTATAGGTCTACACTTTATTGTTCTGAAATATGTAGTGTTCTCTACCCTCTCAAAGACCACTATTTTATTAGTCACATATAGACATATCTATGTATCATGCTATTAGGCAAAGAAGGTGAAAACCATTCCTAGTGATTTAACTAAAACTGTAAACAGATGTAATATTAACAGCTGAAGTATATCTGTTAAAAGGAAACAAAAAAAAAAAATAGGGCAACGCGCTGAGCAGCTTTGCACATGTTAAACAAAAACCTCTGCATATGGGACAGCGAGGTGAGGGAAGGGGAAGTTGGACAGACAGGTCCAGAGGGCCCTGACAGTTGCAGGACAGTTCAGCACCTACCAGCCAACCATGGAGAATTGCCTGTTCTGTTGTGCCTCAAAATCTTCACCTAAAGATCTACCTAAAGATACCTCTTTAGGTAATTACATAAATATTCTCTATGCTGGATTTAATCAAAGAAAACCCAAAATGAATGGAGAAATTCTGTCCAAAACCCCCCAAAGTAAACCATATATTGAATCAACTACAAAATCTAACTCAGTTATGCTGTGTACACTCCCAGATCACCTTAAGCAATAAAGATGTTAATTTTTTATTAGCCGCTTCTCTTCATCAGACATAGACTAACTCAACTCATTCTCCATATAAAATCAGCAGCACAGACCATGCCATACTCACCCTGTCAAAGTGCTGCTGCAAATTATGCTTCACTTGTACTCTTTCAGCCGTTTCCATTCCTGAATTTGTATTTAAGCACCTTGTGAGAGTTCCAATTTCTTCATCTGCATCTTCCCCAAGAAATATTCGCTCATCGAGGTTTCCTACTGACAAAACATATTCCTCGTAGGCCTTGTTGATGGCTTTGCTACAGCAGAAAGGAAAAGACAGATACAAAACGCCCTTTACTTAGTGCTTTGGTCACCTGCTTACTGAAAGAACACAGTTCTGGCCTGCTGAAAGTCTACTTCAGAACGTCTTTGAACCCTGACTTAAACATTGGAGCTCTTTTAAAAGATCTACAATATCTTAAACATGACAGAGGCAAAGACATTATTTCGCCATTATATCTGATGCCTTGCCATGTGGTATAGCTGCAGGAGGAGCACAATAAAATACTGAGAACTCATATTTGGCTGGAAACTCCTCAAAACTTACGCAGCATCGCATCATCATAAACTACACTTTCATACCATTTAAAAGAAAATAATTCCTACGCAGAAGCATCTCTGGGTTTATAAAGAAAAAATACCACCAAATCCAATTTCCCCCTCCCACTTCCCCACTCATTCACCGTGCTCCCACAACTTTTCCATACTAGCACTTGGAGCTGTACACACACACACACACACAAAAAAAAAAAAAAAAAAAAAAAAAAGAAAAAACCCAAGGAAATATAGAAGCATAAGAATAAAAGCAGACACCAAGTAACACCATCCTGAAGAATCATTCCTCTCTCAAATATGCCTCAGACCATACCACCTCAAAGAAAAGGAACTGAAAGGCAATGTAATGTGTAAGTGTTAATGAACAGGCACGTCAACTAGCTAGTGCTACGGCCGAGATGCAGGCGCTAGTGCAAGCGCAGCTGTGTGACAGAGGGATACTAATGCAAACCAAACCAGGAATACGGTGACTCACAAGCTATCGCCGAAGTTCCCGGGATCTAGAAATCCAGTCAGATTTTCATCTTTTCCTTTTAAAAGCTGTAAGACAGTTAAGAACAAAGGATGGATAAAGTTAAGGAAAAAGGTTTTGAAGATAACGGGTACGGAGAAATTTTTCTCCATTACAAATTTAGTGACCAACCTTTTTGTCAAAAAGTTTCCTAATATATGGCTTCCAAAAATGTTCCTTTATGCCTTTTGCTTCTAAAACTAATCCATAATGTAACGAACACAGTTTTTCAATGATGCAGGGAGGATCAGATGATGCCTTGTAATCCTTACTATGAAAGTCTTCAGGTAGACCTACAATTAAGAATACTGTATTATTTAATTCTGCAAATCCACATCCTGTTTTCTAGTTAAACTTAAATTCTACGCTGTGTAGTCTAGCTGGTGTGAAATTAAAGTGGTAAACTAATTAGTTCCCTTGAAAGACTTATTAATTATATAATGCCCACTCAATCTGATAGTGTTATCAAAAGTCAATTTTGAGTCAGAGATTTTAAAAAATTAGATATTGAGTGATAAAAATTAAAAATATCAGTTGCAATAAAAAATAGATCAAACACTTGTGAACTATAATATTTATTCAAATAAATGTGAGATAATGGTCCCAGTTCACATCTGAACCACTACAAAGGAAATACGAATACGGTCAGCACTAAAAATGAAGTATAAATCTGGAAAGAAGTACATCAGAAATTCAGTGGAAACTTTGAACCATTCATTTCCATTTGCGGTTATCAAGTCAACCTACATTTCCATTCTCTTCAGAAAGAGAACAGCCACGATCCAGAAATGAGAGAGAAACAATCAAGTTGCCACTCTCATATTTGAGCACTGGATCTTTCCAGACCGCTGCCTCACAGGAACTCTCCAGTCTGACTGTGTCCAAGAATGACTGCATCATTATGCGCTCTTTCACTGGCATTAAAATGTCATTAACAGAATTTTTTACTTTGGAACTTCCTTCAATGGTATTTCCATAGTAAATTAAATTCTTGACTTATGACATGGTGGACAAAATTCAGTAGTCTGTTATTACGTACTACATTAACAGAAATCTAACTGTGCAGCCAGACACAGAAAATATTAAATCTGATGTATTTCAAACCAGTATTATTCAACTTATTCTCTGCCACATACATTCACACTACATACATCCATATACATTCATAGGCCTTGCAGACTTTGGACAGACAGATTTTTTTCAACATACCTTTAAAATTAGGATTCAGAATTTCTTTACGGTTAGGACACTGGAGAGCATTTCCATACACTAGATCCAGAGCACATAACAAGAGATGGTAGGAATTGACCAAGTCATCACTGATCATAGGAAAATTACCTTGAATATTAGAAAGACATAACATATTAATTAAAATCAGCATAGATTTAAAAGTCTTTTAACCAAGAAACTGTTGATACTTGTGTTACAATCAATAACGGAGTCTTGGAAACACAGACCTTGGTGACTATAAATATCTGGATAGAAACGCAAGTAGTAAGACAGACACACACTTAATAAAATCCAAGCAAACATAAATAAGTAAAATATGTTTTCAGGAACAGCAGCAATTGTGTAGGAACTCAAATACATTGTGCTGTTTTGAAAACAAACCTTACCAAAACGTTGATAAATGTGATACTGCAGACTCCCTCGTTCACAGTAATCTGATTAATCAGCGCATAAATAACTTGAAGCAGCATGAACTGTATAATGCAAACTGCCTCAAGGAAGAAAAATTTGCTACCATAACTCTGGGAACCCAAGCCCCACTGTCTGGCAGTTACGTCCTTCAATGGGTTCTTACTCCACCTGCCTGAAGCAGAATCTTGTTCGAAAGGCATATTGACTGAGACTTTCCTTTTCCCCAATTTTGCATTGCCGTGAAGTGTTGCAAAGAACTTTAACTTTTGCTAGGCTAGACCCAAGCGTTCAGATGTCCTAGAAAAAGCAAGCACTACCCCTTCCTTCAATTCCGCTCCATTCTCCGGAATGACTCTGTATTCAACTCAAAGTCAGGAGATCATTTTTCATTACCAAAATTTTTTTGGGAGCATGCTCATTACAAACAGTAATAAATTTAACTTTATTTCTCTTATGCTTTACAAAAGAGTTAAAATGTGTATCTCTGATCCGGTTTACTATGTAACTTTATTTCATATACCTCTAAGGAATTTTTTATTTATCATTGTCGCATAGAAAAGAATCCTTGTAACTTCTTCACTCTTTTATCGCCTTTCACAAAATTATATTCAGATTCATTACTCTTTACTAAACTCATTTAGGTTTATGATATTCCTTTAGAGGAATGGTTGGTCATACCTAAAACCAGTCTTTTAAAATAAACTATACCATTAATTAATACTATAAATCACAATTCCATGAAATTTTTTGCACAGCATGATTTTTTTATCACTCTTTTTAACTCTTCTTCACTTTTCCCCCCCCCTCAGGTAAGCTCCAAACTACTTAGCTGAGCCCACTATAAAGAACCGGTTTAAATCCTTGAAGAATTCTATCCTATAGTAATAAACTCACTTAGAACACATCAGAACTTATAGATGACTAAAGAATTTCTCTAAATTATGCTGTTACTTTTCTACCAGTAACGTACCAGTTTGCTCAAATTCATATTCAATTTTCTGATTTCATGTTTGTCAAAAGAAAAATAATTTCAATGCAGATAATTGGAACTATTTAAATAAATGAAGCCTACATGAAATTTGAATATACTGTACGCATTTATCAGTTATTTTGAAATCATTAAGTGTTCACAGCAAAGCTATGAAAGTCCTAAATACAATAGCAAATCATTAATCAACAAGAATCTTAAAAGAAGTAACTCTTGTAACAGGTTCATTTTCATAACCATGAAGTCTAGCATGGCAATTGTTACTGGCAGCTTAGTCAAAAATAAATCTGATTTTATGTTACCAGTAGTTTCATACAAATGATTTGTCAATGACATTGGCTTAACCACTCCCTTTCACAGCCTAGCACCAAATAATAAAAAGTTATCTTAGTGCAGCAGAGATGTAGTTTTTCATTTCCGTTTTAAAGAAAGAAGAAAAGTCAAGATAGAGAGTTTAAAGATAAATTCTTACAAACAGTACGCAAGAATTGCAGTATCGCTAAACAAAGTTGCTATCTTGCTTTGCAGCACATACCAAAGGTACGAACAAGACGTGTACTTTCTGCATTTGTGAAACCAAACACAATGATCTTCAGGCTTGCAGGAATATCACAGAGACAAACCTAAATTTGCCACTGATGTGTGGTTGCCATGATAAGGATTACTGCCAACCCTCAAAACACAGTGAACAAAACTTAACATGAATATTTAATGCCTTAAATGGTTCAACATTTAGCTTCCATTTTCATGCTGCCACACTTTAATAAATTTACCACTAGTCACTTACTAATTTTACAGTTTATAATTACTGCAAATTTTCCTTTTTCTTGTAAAATTTAACTGGCTATGTCATCAACATGGTATTCTCTACAAAGTTAATTTGTATGTCTGAAACTGCTTGCTAATTAGCATGCAGTTAATGGATGATGTAATTACTCAAACATATTAACCAATAATTTAGCAATAGGCAGACTCATAAAGTCCCTTTGCACCTTGTCAACTGCCCAATCTACCCACAGAAGCGGGGATTTTATAGAAAGGAAAAGAAAAATCTGATTTTTCAGACTGACCTACTTACTCTCTCAGCTGCCTAACTGTGCTAAAGAAGTGAAGTCCTGGCTGACTGGAAATAAAATACAGTACTAGCTCTCCTCTGGACTCAGTGGAGTACGAACAGGTATTTCATACTACTTGAGAGCGCTATTCTGGACTGGGGAAAAAAAAAAAAAAAAGATGAAAATCATACTGTGTTTCAGGGTTGCAAGCAACATACTTTTTAGGAAAGATTTCTCTTCCCCAATAAAGTGGAATTTGCAGCCTGTTGGAAAAAGGCGGCATCTTCTATACAAGATACAGTGTTCAGTACAGCACTCGCGCAATACCACACCCTTCTTGATCTTTGTACAAAGATGTGACGGTGAGGGTCCAGTGATACTGCCAGTCACTTTTCCAAAAGGGAGCTGCTGGCAGCCCTCTGCAGCGTAGAAAGAAAGGCTAATCTGTAGTGAACTAAATCAGTGCCAGATAATTCAATATTGTGACAGCCTACCCTGTCCTATCCTCAAAAGCAGCCAATTAAGGAAATCACAGCACACTGCAGGAATCTTAACACTGATTCACTTTTAAATTGGAAAAAAACCCACCCCACCACACATCCCAAAACCAAAACAAAATTATTTTTATGCCTTTCCTTGCAGAAATTAAACTGTTAGTTTTCTTCTACTCTAAGTTATCTTATGAAAAAAATACAAAAAGTGTCTGGAAATTATCAATGGACTTGAATCTACAAAGACATTCTTTCAGTGAGGAATATAAACCTTGCCTTTATTTTCCTCAAAACACTATCTTACTTATACAGAATTCCCAGTGAACACTCATCCAAGCAGCACTGGAATAAAGCTCTAGTTACACGGAAACTCCTTAAGATGTAGGTTTGACGAGGGAAGACTTTAGACTATATGCAATATAACCGAACAACTTAAGCCTGAAATAAGGATTTAATCCTGTTCCCTCCTGTGGCTTCTTCTCCCATCAGTCATTGTTAAGAAAAACTGCTGAAAACCTCTACTATTCTCATTAGCTTTAAGGCTGCTCTTATGATAAAGGTTATATATACGTTGCAATACATGGTCTGTTCATTGCATTTTTTCAACAGTAGCATATTAACAGAGGATCCCTTTACACGTTCCAAAGGAATCTGAGTCTTCAAGACAGTCAGACATTTATATACACTGCTATGTCCAAAATGCAAGAGAAAATCATCACTGCAAGACAGGCTTATGCAGACCTATTTAGTAATGCGTATGGTTATTTGATACAGTTGCTGTGTGCTCATTTTTTAAAAAGGTAGGGGGGCAAAAAGGCTATCTAAACAATTAGAATGCTATCTGTGCTACTAGCTTGAAAATGTTCACACCAAGAGTTTTATGACTGATTTCTACTAGGCTGTAGGAAAAAAGTCATTAAATATTTTCAACATTGCTGGAAACTTAGGAGGAATTTAAATACTCTTTTTTTCCTAGTAAACATACTTATACACCTTATGTTAATTACAACAACATCTAAATATGAATTCACTAAAATTCTAAGCTACTTTTTCCCTTAGAATTACAGCATAAATCTCCACAATACTGGAAATTTGTAAAAATATTCCACATAAAAGCTACCAAGCTACTCAGATGTATAGCTTACCTTAGAAGTGTGGTAAAACATACAGCTGGGGAAATTAGGACAGAATACATTCCTTTGGGCTGTTCTGAGAAGGCCCCTTCTCCAAAGGCATTTCTGAGTTCAGAAATGCCTGCACCCATTCAGTGTTTAAGGATTGATATAATGCAATGACTAACAAAACCAGGTTTGCAGTATTTAATCCCTTTCAAATCTCTTACCTTTTGCATGAACAAACAGCACCCAACAAAACTGGAAAACTTCAGTCACGGTGCACGGTTGTCGTCTTTTGGGGAAAAACACAGTGAGAAGACACCCAATAAGCTCAATGCATTAAGACTGACAGACCATCATACAACATTCAGTCGGTCTAAAAGAAAATGAAGCTTTGCTATAGTGTAGCCAATATCTTAAATCCTTTCCACAGAAACCTGACTAAAATGGTACTAAAGCAAGCCACACACTGGTGTAGTGGGGACGCAAGCAGAATCCCAGTCTCAGTCTGCATGTAATGATTCAAATGTCACCATGGCAGTCCAACGCAGCAGATTCCATTAGAACTAGGCCAAGACTTAAGCAGAAAATTACTGTAAATTTAACGTTAAACATGGCTGGCTTAAATTCTTTTTTTTTTTTTTTCCCCAAATACAAATCAGAATTTTTTTCTTTAAAAAAAAAACAAACCAGAAGTCAGACATGATGCTCAAGTATTTACTGCGTGTATTTAAAAAAAACCCAAACAAACCCAAAAAATACCACCACTAGCACCACTTCTTGTAACTCCACAACATCATTCCTTGTTTCCATATAACATATCACTGGAAGTGGTATTTTATATATCGCAGCTCATCCTCCATCAGGTTATGTGAAGAATGGTTTTAAATGTCAAAATGAACATACATTTCACAGAAAACCCAGTAAATATCATCTTCCAAATTAATCTTCAAAATTAGTTCACACCTTACCATCCAAGCTAACCAACTAGCAGGGTTTGTTCTTCTAATCATAGAATTATATATGCAGTATTTTTTAATTTCAACACCGTATTCATCCCAATACATAATTCTATTCCACCTGTTGTCCAATTCCAACTTACTCACCTTTTGCATTCTCCACCAAAAACATTTGGCCACAATCCTGTCTTTTATTATAGATTCAAATACATTTGGTTACAAATATCACTAAGTTATGGTCACAAGAACATCAAGGGGGGAAAAAAAATAGGCCAAAAAACCCAACTAAGAAATAGCCCATAAATAATAGAAAAAGTAAAATAAAATCATTAAAAAACCCCAAAAAAACCACAAAAGCAACCAAACAACGGCACATCACAGCAGTGAAGATGAAAGAAATAATGAATGAGAATAAATCAATCTCTACTAAGTACCAGAAGAAATCACAAGCCGTGTTAAGTGCTGGCACAAACAGATTAAATTTTCTTGAGATCAGAATAACCAGAAGAGAAGGCCAGCACAGAATTTTCATAGCACTCCTGATATGAACAGTAACAAGGGAATAAAGCTTCTGCTATGAAGTAAAACATCCAGAAGGTCTGCGTCTATGAAGAAAACTGTGGGAAGTACCAGGCAGTGACACAGGCAGAGTTGTTCGACGAGCTATTGAGGCTGCACTGATCGTACAATGATTAAATCTTCCAGCCTTTCCCATCTTAGAAGTACTAATGTTTCTCTTGTCTACTGGCTGATTTTAATCGCTCCTCTTTTCCCTGACCCCCAAATCATAGAAAGTTAACAGCTTTGGGATTTCCTGCACCCTGTCGGATCTGAGAAACTGAAAATATTCAAAAATTGCTGTGAGCAAGGACAGACAGACCAGCTCTGATATTATAAAGAACTGCTACGAACATACAGTCAAAAATACAACTAAAGCAATAGAGCAACTTCACTATATTTTTCTAATAGTAATTACTCTAAAATCAGTCTGGAAATAACAGAAACATACCTCTGTTTTCTTCCTCTCTGTTGACGAGGTTGATCTTCTTGAGGATATCTGAAAATGTCCTGAAAAATGGGCTCATACTTCTTAAAAATTACTGCAGAAACTGTGAAGTTTCTCTCTAGTCTCTCAGTTCGTTCTCTGAATTGGGAGGGTAGATTTGCCATGTCTTCCCATTTTTTCATCTTGTTAAAAAACTCTATCAAGCTGAAAATACCAAACAGGTTAGATCTGAAAGGTGTGGTGTCGTGTCCCAAACCCCTTCCCCCCACAAAATACATACTACGTTTTATTTATTTACAATAAAAGTGCAATTTCTACTTCCCAAACTACTGATAAAATGGCAGTAGCGCAAACATGCCAACGTACTCGGAGCCGGCCCTTCACCCATAAACAAGGATGAGCTCAGGCAGCTTGCAAAATATTTTTATATCCTTGGTTGATGACCATGTTAACATTCACAGTTCTTGGCTTTTCTTCACAAAGACACAATCAGCTCCCACAGTCAGATTACTGTAAAATCAGATTTCCCTCATTTTTTTTCTGAATAATTTATTAATTTAAATAAAATAAACTCTGAATTCTACAATTCTAAGACTCTACAAAGTATGAAAAAAACTTAAGTTTCAATAAATTTCATGCTATGAATTTGACTTTCATTTATTTTTCATTCCTTTATCTATACCTACTTTTTCAACGTTATCACTCCTTGATAACCCAGATCACAGAAACTATTTATCCACATTCACTTCCCTGAATTTCTGATTTGGAAAAATACATTTTTAAAGGAACATTTTGTGTTATTTAAACCAATAGCAATGCTCCAACAGCAAAGGAGATGGGGAGAAAAAGAACATTCTTTTTTGTCACCAATCCACTACATTATTACAAAACAATCAGACTGCTAATAAATAAAGTGAGTTGTTTCAGGAAGTTTTTCTTCATTACTTCATGGGCATAAACATTTGATACAAATTCGTTTATCAGATTCTGACATCACTTTAGTTTCATAAAGCAAGAACACGTGAAAAGTAAAGTCTTCTTACAAAAAAAGAATAAAAATTGTGTGAATATTTTCACAGACAATTAAGAATGGTTTCTCCTGTGAGAATTTTACACTTTGCACACTTTTCAAAAACAGACTGTTCTTCAGGGACTGATTTCTTTCTCCTTTGAGAGAGGGGAGGCAATCTCTGATTTTGAAAACCAGTGTTTTTACAACATAGTCACGACCAAATGGAACTGTCCTACTTCTGTGGCAATGAGCTGTAACCCAAAGATTCTAATGATATAAATTATATCTTTAAAAGCAGGAAACAAGACGCTTCGCCTTTGTTCTCAATTTCTAAACCTCACAAGCTGATAAGCAGTCTTTGAGATTTGGTAACTACTCAAAAGTTAGCAAAAACAAAAGTTACCTTTGCTCTGAACAGCGCAAGATTCTGGTTAAGGATACGTAATTTCCCTCAGCTGTCCCTCTGCTCACAGTTGGAATTGCTTTTCTGCAAGCCACGTACAAGGCGCACGCTAGCCAATGCAGATCATTTCCCTGTGAATTAAAACATCAGGCAACTAAAAGACTTCATTGAAAAGAAAACCACACGTTTCAGCTACGCACTCAACGTCAAGACAAAGGGTAAAACTGCGCCCTAAACTCAGGAAGTTCACCCAATGACAAAGTCGATTAGTTGTTTTAAAGTTCTGTTGAGCTACTTCGTGTTTCTAGCTACAAGAAAAACAGGCATTAGACAGATACTTGAACTGGGTCAAAACTAAAATTACGTAGTTTCTAGTTACCTTTATGAATGCCACACTTGATCCAAAGTTTAACAATGTGTTTTAAGTGTTGCTCTTCTCCTATAATAACATTTTGTACTGCCTTGGTGTTATGAAAAAGTTATAAAAGCTACAGTTCCTTGCTATCAGGACTGAAGGGCAGGGGGAAAAGAAAACCATAGTTTCCATTTTTCTCTGTATTACACAACAGAGCAATTACTCAATCTGGTACCTAAAGACAAAACTTAATTCAAGCGAAAACCTTTAAAATCTTA